AAACATTTGCGGGAAAGAGCGTCTAGATTGGCACAGATGCTTTTCCACAAAAGCACTTTTTGCGGAAAAGCGTCCATGCCAATCTAGACGCGCTTTTCCGCAAAAAAGCCCCGATCACCATTTTCACGATCGGGGCTTTTTTGCGCAAAACAAATCTGAACTGTCTACACTAGCCCTTGTGACGTAGTGGGGGTACTTGCTGGGCTGTGGTGACCCCTGCTGTCTGGAGCAAGACCCAGCAGGGAAAACCTCACTAGGCAGAGGTAAGGCCAAACTGGTTGAACCAGTGGCCAGACACCCCCCATGGAGAGGAACAAAGGAAGGTGGAATGCGGCCCTGACTGGGGGGGCAGGGCTGCAAGGGAATTGAGTTAGTTACTGTGTGAGGATGGATGAGACAGCCTAGGGAGAGGAGCTGGAGTTTTAGGGGCCCAGTCTCCCCCATCTCAAGGGGGCCTGAGGCATCCTAGCCCAGTTCCTGTAACCAGATTACATCTGTGCTGCGCTGTGCTGGAGGAGCAGTAACCCACCCTCAATTCCACTGGCTGGTACAGTCTGTTTGTGCCATTTCGGGGTGCAGGAGACGGGGAACCCCCAACGTGCCGTCACAAACATCCAGTGGTTTCCTTCATTTCAGAATGGCTATGACCTTTGTTTGCTTTGTGACAGATTTTTGGGATGCAGTTGCCTTGGAAAACATCGGCTAAGGAACTAAAGCAGCCAGCTTTTGGCTTTCAGGCTTTGGGGAAGAAGGAACTTGATATGGATATAAATTATAATTCAGGCCTGGAACTGTTCCTTTTTCATAAGCTTATTGAACTAGTCTAGCTCTTTGTCTTAAAAAGGAGACATCAGATTTGAATTCACAATAGGTGCTTGTCATCTCTCTATAACCTCTGTTTTCACCACGTAGCTGAAAGATGTATTAAATTTTGTGCGTGGTCATTAGCCATTGGGTGAAATACAACAGCATTCACAGTGACTGAAAACTCCTTTTTGCCAAGATTGGAATATCCAAAAAGTCTTTTTATGATCTGCTAGGCCATCTGGCTAAAATGAATTAAGTTGAACTCTGTGTCTGTCTCTTTCCATAAATTGTGCCTTGTTTGACCCAGCAGTTAAATGAGTTATTTGCTTCTTTTAACAGCCTCCTGTTCATTACCAGCAGGTACAATTCTTGACAGAGCTTAACTGCCTCTGATGACCACTATTGGTGATAGCCTCCAGGGATCTTCTTCTTAGCAGCTTCCTGAACTAATTTGCAAAATATTGGCAGGAATCATTTATATTGGCTGGACATTATAAGTCCAATTCAGTCAGGCCACTAATAGATGTCTCTACTTCTGCTTGAAAGACCTCCTAACAATGATTTGAAAAATACTACGCAACCTTCCCTAAGCTGTCTGTTGTTGATAGCCACAGGTCTGGGGTGATCAAAAATGGCCAACACTAAGTCACTGGAAAAGCTTCAAGCATCTTCCACTCTACAACCAGTTGCCTAGAAGATGAAAAGACGATGTTAGGTGAAGAGCCTGTTGCTCATCTGCTTTGTGAAATATGGAAGTTTGGTTTGTGTTTTAGAGGATTTGTAGATCAGTGACTGAGTCCTACTTCACTAGGCAGACAGACAGAGTCTCTTTCTCTCTCTCTCATTGTCAGGATATCCCCAATTGTCATAGCAAGGACTGAAGTTGCCATAATAGATGGTTATGGAGGAACACTGATTATGGAGTGTGTCTCCTGAATCAAGATGACATGTGCCTTCAAAGTTTGTAAAATGCAACACCTTGAGAACTGGTCCTGGAAGAGGGTTTGCATTGCGGACTCTGAAAGGGACTCCACTGGAAAATGGCTCTTGAGGGCTGATTATTACTTTGAATGCAAGTGTTCTGCATTTTGTCTGCTTTTGTTTCACTTTATGCTATCAACAGGGGATACCAAAAGAAGTCAACAGGTGACGTTTCAGCTTCTAAGAAGGCTGCACTATAGAAGTAATTTATATTGCTAAACATTATTGTATTATCTCTCCTGAAACAGTAAGCCTTATATTATTATGATTAGTAAAGGTTAGCAACTTGCAACAACTTCTTAGTATGAGATTTTTGCAATAGTTTGTGTGACATTACTTACATTTATCATAAACACACAGTGAAATTTCAACCTGTCCTTTTTGATAATCTTCACAAAATCATAGCCTTTGGAGATGGAAAAGACAAGATACAGAATCTAGTCTGTCTGCCATCAGTTCCATATAAAGAATTACATTTGCTAACATTTAATTTATATAATGGAGCTTCCACAACCCCTGTTCTGAAACTATTATGTAGATTAATATATCTCATTTCCAGAACATAGTGTGCACAGGGCTTTACTGGTTAAGGAGATAAGGGACCATACTCACACTTTGACAGGTTGAAACTTCACTTTAGTGGGTTTCAACTTAAATAAAAAAATGCAAATAACTGAAAATGTTTCAATGGAAACTAATTGCTGAAAGATAATGACATCAAAATCTCAATTCTTAAAGCTAATGTCTCAGAGACCACACTGGATTTAGTCTATAGAAAGCTCAGACTCCTAAGAATCATACAAAAATAAGCAGTGGAAAGGACTAGAGAATATTATGGCTCCTTCCCTTCAAACTATTTTGTCTTGTATAAATAATGATAATATGAAAATTAGATTTACTCAGAGGTTCTTCACTGATTTCCACTTCTTCAGACAATATATTAATTTCTGCTGGAGATGTGAGAGTTTGTGATTGAACTTGAATCAGTCTACTGAAATAGGCATGCCAGATATCAGTTACCTATTAAGAAGGAAAGAAAATTAACATACAAAATTATTTCAAATATTTTAAAAGGGTGTGTGTTTCGCTCTTTCCTTTTGCTCATTTTCCAGTTCATTGCCCAGTACAATCTTAAATGTTTCAATCTTAAATGACTGGACAAACACCATCTTCCTTATGTGAGTAGCCCAGCTCTCATCATGATTTTTTCTCAGAGGTTCAACCTAAAGTCTGTTCAGTTCCACTCTATTACTCCTCAGCCGATTCTCCCCGGCCATGGCGCTCATTAGGTTCATAAACCCTAGTCATAAGACTGTTTAAGCAAAATGCAAATGTATTAGTAGCAAAATCGGTTTTTATAGTGGGGTTTGGGTGAACTATATAGACAGGTGGGGAACTAACAGTGTTAACAACGCGTTTAAAATGTTTGAGGCTAAGTGATCTCAATAATATATTTTGAATATAGGATTAACATGATTCAGCCTTATAAACAGGTAAAATTATTAGCAATTATCTTTGCTTTAACTATCTGAACCATATTGAAAGTCATTTATAAAGACAGTTTTAAAGCCAGTGAAGAGTAGAGCAATCTAAATGATTCTTGTCCTTGATGTTTATGGTAAAGCTGAGGAAAAAAAATCACTAAGAAGCCTTTACCATCTCATTATCAACTAGGCTGTGTCTAGACTGCATCCCTTTTCCGTAAAAGGGTTGCAAATTAGACACATCGCAATTGCAAATGAAGCAGGGATTTAAATCCCCCTTTCATTTGCATAAAAATGGCTGCCACTTTTTTCCGGCTCGGAGCTTTGCTGGAAAAAAGCGCCAGTCTAGACGCGGATCTTTCAGAAAATAAAGCCTTTTCCGAAAGATCCCTTATTCCTTTACTGATTAGTAAAGTAGGCTACTGTATGGAACAACTTCTGGGATACGATTCTGGGATCATAACTGCATAGATAATAGATTCTCAATGAAAGATATACTGACTCAACGTATTAAACTATACATTTTAAATGTATTTAAATTATTATAAAAGCGAATAATAGTTTTACTGATTAAGAAAAATGAGAGGAAATTCCAAAATAAATGTTAAAGGACTATATTTACATCTTTTAAAAATGTGATTTTTTTAAAAAACTGATCTCTCTCTATTCTGGTTATAACTCAGATAAATATTTTAATAAGTAGTAGCTTACTTTCATGCTAATAATAATGTTTTAAGCCCTGACCCAGAAGCACTGAGGCATGTACATAACTTTAGCAGGTGAGCAGTTCCTTTAGCTGCAATGAGACAACATACACAAAATTAAACACTTATTAAAAGTGTTTGAGGGATTGGGGGATAAAGTGAAACTTTTACACTTGGTTCAGGGTCATTATAACATTAAAAGGAGTCAGTAACATGCCAATATTGGAAATAATCTCAAGAGAACTTGTAAATATTAGATGTGGTGCTACTAACCTCGGTGTATAATGAGTCTGCAATGTCCATTTTGTTCTGATGAAAGAACACATTAGCCATGTGGAAATAACCTCCAGACGTACTAATGTCATGAGTTCCAAATGCACAACTGGCAAAGTAAATCTGAAATGTATATAAAAATGTAATCCTATAAACTTAATATTCACATCAAAATAAATATGAAGATAGGTTAAGTAATTTGAAAATTAGCGATATTTCATTTCCTCTATTTTCCACCTAATATTAGATGCAAAAGTAATTATATTTAATTCCAAGTTTAGAATGTTGCACCAAAAAACATGCAGGTTCTGTCTTTTTCCACAAAGCACTGAAAAACTCCCTTATGTCCCTAGCTGGGAATACTCCTGATGCAGAGGCACAGAGAGATGGCAAAGTTGGCACCCAAACAGAAGCTGAATGGAGCTATTGCCACAGCATGCTGCACTCTAGCTACCCTCAACTGCTATTTGGTTCTTAGGGAACTTGTCAAGCCTTAGAGCAGCACCAGGAATGGACAAAGAATAGGGAGCCATTACTGACTCCTTGACAAGCCCCCAAGTTTGAAGGCCTAATTTCCCATTATGATTACAGATTAAAAATGCATGGCTGCAGTTTATAACTGCCAGGACCTGGTTTTAGTCACCTCATTTAATATCCTGCTCTCAAGTCAGGATAGCAACAGACCAATGTAAATAACAACACTGCATACACACAAGGTATAATACAGTAGTAAATCTGAATCAATATTCTTGAAATGAATAACGTTTGGAGGGAGAGAAAGAAAGGTGATTTAGTAGCTAGAGTTACTTAACTTGACTCATCCACACAGGGGCAGATGACCATTTTGTGGGGCCCCGGTCAGCATAATTCCGCGGGGCCCCCCTTTGCCATGGCGCATGCGCAGTGACGGCATGCGCATGCGCAGCGGCGCCACGGCGCATGCGCAGGGCTTTCTGAAGCACGGGGCCCGGGGCGGCCGCCCCGTTCGCCCTGCCGTATATCCGCCCCTGCATCCACACTCATAGGAGCACCTATCAATAACCCATCCAAAGGAGTGGCCATCAGGGCTGTGTGCATTCTCTCCTGTAATGCTGAAAGTTTGGATCAGAGACTACAGACTAAACACATCTTCCATTAAAGCCTATGGAGTGTCTGTAGCAGGAACTGAATCAGGTCCTGTACAGAGAAGCAGCCCTGAGCTTGTTCCAATTACTTTCTATTTAGTCACTTGGGCTATCTAATCATTTCTGCATTGACTATGAACAATTATTAGGATTTTTCTACTTATTTTATACTACGTACATCAATAGCCAGGTGGTATAAAGCCTCTTCAAAATTTCCTTTTGCAGCATAGAGGAGACCCAGGTTACGATGCAATTTAGACTGAATGCCATTATTGCAATCAGAAGTTTTGAGGACAATCCACTGAGCTTGTGAGAGGTAATCATCTGCCTGAGTAAGATGGCCAAGCCCTGAAATTATATTTTGAGAAAAAAGAGAACAAATGCTGTTAGCAATTTTTTAGGCATTTCAATATAGCTCTTTGTGCCACTCACTTAAACAAGAAATCCAAAACATAGCACAAGTGCCCTCCGAATGCTTTCATAAGCAAGTTGTCCAAGTAAAAAAAAAATCAGACTCTTCTGATGACAGATAAAGCCACTCATCACTGTAAGGCACTTTCCAAAACCCATGGCATTGATACTAGACCAAGAAAAGTCTCTTGGTACATCCTGATAAATTTCTTTTATGGTGATGTCTTCATTTAAATGTGGCAGTTGCAACTCAAAGGTCAAGAGCCCAGGCTCATCTTGACCACTTCTGGATGGTTCAGAGCAGTATGCTATAGGGATGTTAAATTGCGGATAATCAGCTAATCGAGTAGTCGAGGGAATTTCCATTGACTACTCGATTAGTTGATAAGGGGTCGGGCACTTTGCTACCCCGGCTGTGGCTCTGCAGTTTAAATGGAGTAGGAGCTGGGCAGCAGCCCAGCTCCTATTATATTTAAACTGCAGAGCCACAGTTGTGGGACCTGGTGTGAGCCAGAACTGCTCCAGTCCCAGCTTGTGCCAGGTCCAGACTGATGCACCTCTGCCTTTTAAATGTATTAAGAGCCGCTGTTATGCCTCTGCCCACTTGTCCCCACCCCATGGAGATAGTGCTGGGGGGAACTGGCTTTTAAGACAGCTTCTCCCAGCACTGGCTCCTGCTTCCCCCCCCCCGTCTCCCCCACACACACTCTCTCTCACTCTCTGCCTCAGACATAGAGCAGCAAGGGGGGGAAATGCGAGTAGTCAACTTGACTACACGATACGCCTAGACTTATCGGGCAGTTGAATGTTCAACTATTCTTTCACATCCCTAGTACCTTATAGAGGTAAAGATTAGGTTTTAATCCTAATTTTCTTTTGGGAATCAGAAAATACTGAGAATAAAACCCTGTTCCCTTGAAGTAATCTGGAAACTTTTTCATGCTCCCACACTAAAAAGTTTGGTACCTTTGTTCCTCAATGATTTGTAAGAGGAACCATGGGAAGGATGGAGTGAGTAGGAGTATGACATGGTGTTAAACTGTAGTGTGTAGAGCTTCAAGAATACCAAGACAAAAGAAAATTTGAAAGATGACCCAAAAAGAGAGAGGAATTGTATGCTGAGCGATAAAACTAAAATGTTCCGAGCCTTCAGCTGGCTTTGCATGTATAAACTGTGTGAAAATTTCTATTAAACAGACAGCTTGACCACTGAAGTCAATGGGGATCTTTCCCAATCACTCCAAAGGGCTGTAGATCAGCCTATCAGGAAATCTTCCAGTCTCTTAATTTTTTTAAACTGTGATGAAGTGGGAATTTTCTGTAATATTTTGAATCCTATGGTGTGGTGTGCCTCTATTTCTCCTATATATTACATCGTACCTGGCAGCAGGCAAGAGGACTGTTTGCTCTCAGGACAGGCTAAGAGACATGTGCATGAAATGTCATCTAGCTCTCTGAGTCTGAATGGGTCATTAAAAACAAGGCTAATTCTGTATCAATGGAGTATGGAGAAGACAATCAACTTGACACTGACACCTACAAACCAGTAACTGAAAGGGAGATGGATTTCTCTCTCTCTTAGCAGGAAAGCTAAGCGAAGATCCCAGCTCAAGCACAAAGGCCTGGAAAGGTATGAAGTTGGAGATAAGTGCTGGCTGTGGGAAGGACTTGGGCTTTCACCTGAGAACTGACCAAGGAGGTCAGAGAGAGACAGAACTTGGACACAGAGTTTGCTATAGCATGGCTGGGTTTTGGTCTAACCAGAAGGTACTTGGCTATTCTAACCATCATTTTTCTGTGCTAACCTGGGGACTTCCTATGCTGCATTCCAACTGACAAATAAATGCAACTTTTTGTACAATACTGATTGAATATCACTGCAAATGCTCACTGAAATGCATTAATCCCCAAAGGGCAGACAAGTCTTTCTCAGTGAAGCAGGAGTGCTGAAGCTTCAGGGGTTCAGTATTAGGAGACTGTGAGGCCACATGGCCTGCCTTGAAGGAAGAATGAGGCCCCCAGGGAGTCTGGTACACTGAAGGGATAACTGTTCCAAACCTGGGGATGTGGCACTGAAACTGGATCTGTGACATACCAAAATTATGATTTTAGCTTTATCAGTGATATTATTTGCTTCAGCAAAACTTACCAGTGCTAGCCTCAGCTAAAATGAGATAAGCAGGAACTAATTCCATAGAATCTGGGCCACAGATATTAATGCTGAAACGCAGTGAATGTAAAGCTGCAGGAATTGCTTGTTCATGTTTTCCTTCAAACACAAACTTCTGGGCAACTTTGTGAGTAAGGTCAATTACGTGTTTCTGTAGGGGAAAAATTAACAATGGAATGGAAGTGAGCAAACGATGCTTTTCTCTCTCTCTCTATAAAAAAAATTCCCGCGGGACAACAGAATAATGTCATCACATCACAGTGTCCACAGGCTGGGGGGTAAAGCCCTGCTCCATCCACTCAAGGTCCTGTCCCTGGTCATCAGCCCGGCCCTCTCTGGTGGCCATGTGGAGAGCTGGGGCAGGTGCACGGCGGCCTCAGCCTTCCCAGCTGCTGGGGCCAGAGCTGAGGCTAGTGCTGTGGCCTCAGACCAGCCCTCCTTGGTGGCTGAGGACAGAGCTGGTGCTGGCAAGCCACGGCCTTGGCCTTCTCCAGCCACTGGGGTTAGAGCTGGGACTGGCACCCCGTGGCTCCAGCCTTCCCTGACCACTGGGGGCAGAGCTAGGACTGGTGTGACCTTGGCCAGATGGCGGGGGGCAGGGAGGGGGAGGGAGAAAGAACTGGGACTGGTGGGGCCGCAGCCGGAGAGTGGAGGAAGAAAAAGCCAGAGCTGGTGGGCCGGGGCCAAGTGGGGGGAAAAACAGCTGGGGCTGCCGCAGCCAGGATCAAGGTGAAGTGGGAGGGAGAAAAAGACAGGGCTGGTGCAGCTGCAGCCGGGAGGCGGAGCTGATGTGGCTGCAGCCTCACCCTCCCTTATGGTCGGCCAAAGAGCTGGGGTTGCCTACCCCCACAGATACAGGGGTTGGAGAGCGTAGTGAGCAGGGGGTGCAACTCCCTAGTTTCTAAAATGAAAATACTGTATCAATGTATATCATTGGAAATACCATCTACATTTACAACTAACTGCTACATAAACGTACAAACGGGAAGCCCTGTTATAGGTGGAATTTAAATCTGGTAAGATTGATGGGTGTGAACTTGCTCTTCAGTTAACGTTACTGGAAACATAAGATCCACCTAAGACAAAAGATGTGTGTGAACCTGCTCCAGAGTTTCTGTCTGTGCACTCTTTTGGGGTGTGCATGTGTAAAAAGAGAGATCACAGAGAACAGACGAAAAAAGGGAAAGGCAAAAAAGCCAAGTGTGACTCTATAAACACACGGTGACTCTCCGAAAAGCTGGAGAGCACACTTTGGGTTAGGTGTTGGTTAAAGAGGTGTGAGGGCTATAAGCGAAGAACCTGCTTCTTTTGTTCTTCGTTCCTTCTGTGGCCAGGGATACAGGACAGGACTTCTTACATTACTCGCAAAGAAATAAGACAACATGAAAGAAAATGCCAGATTCCATCAATTTCTACTTCCAAACAGAACATCTGCAGGACCATAACCTTGGACTAGCCACTGGTGTCAAAAAGTGATTGTAATTTTAGTAATCTGTAAGTGGATGAGTCTTGGGCATGTCACATTAAAAACCTGGGTTCTACTCCTAGCTCTACCAAAAGTAACCTTGTATAATCTCAGCTCCTCTGTTACCTCATCTATAAATTAAGGGAATGACAGTGCAGACTACTAAGGAAAAGATATAAGGGTTTACTGAATAATAAAAGGCTGTGTGCACAGATTAACACAAATCCATGAAAAAAAATACGCTGATTTTTGTCATAGTGACTGCTGCCCTCAGGCTTCTAGAATGTACTATTATAATGCACTTTGTTTGGTGTTACCTTTCAAAAGCACAGGCAGATAGCAGCTACAGGGAAACATGATAGCACAAGTTCCACATGTGAGGCTACTTTCAGTACACTATGTCAGTAAGTACACGCCAAGTTAATACTTCAATCTTAGAAAAGCTACATTGTGTAGCTCTAGTTCACAATACCTGAATGAGTATCTGATTGTTCTGTCTCCTTATTGTAACACAGGTCAAGAAAACTGGAATTGTTTTGACCATTCTGAGATACAGGTCAGGATTTTTAGGTGCCCATCTCCCATTAAAAATCAATAGGAGTTAGGCAATTATGGTTGACTGGTATTTTGAAAGCCTCTTAAAAGCACTACGGGTATGTCTACACTAGCTCGTTAATTCGAGCTAGGTAGGCAAATGAGGTGACCGGAGTTGCAAATGAAGCCCGGGATTTAAATATCCTGGGCTTTATTTGCATGTTCCCGTCCCGTCGCCATTTTGAAATTTCACTAGCCCGAACTCACTGCCACGCGGCTATACACAGCAGTGAAACGTTAATTCGAACTAAGTCCTTAGTTCGAATTAACTGTCACTCCTCGTGGAATGAGGAGTAACAGTTAATTTGAACTAAGGACTTAGTTCGAATTAACGTTTCACTGCTGTGTATAGCCGCGTGGCAGTGAGTTCGGGCTAGTGAAATTTCAAAATGGCGACGGGACGGGAACATGCAAATAAAGCCCAGGATATTTAAATCCCGGGCTTCATTTGCAACTCCGGTCACCTCATTTGCCTACCTAGCTCGAATTAACGAGCTAGTGTAGACATACCCGTAGTGCTTTTAAGAGGCTTTCAAAATACCAGTCAACCATAATTTGGAAAGGCAGCGCTTTTTCTACTGAGGGCCATGCTATTTAGAACAATCCTCTCTGGATTTTATCAAGGACTGCCAGGATACTAGTAACTGGCACATTCAGAATAATCTGCCAGGATACTAGTAACTGGCACGTTCAGAATAATAAATGCTGAGATAAGATGACGCAATCTTTAGAATAAAAAGTTATATATTAAGGGTATGTCTACACTGCAACACTATTTTGAAATAACTAGTGATATTCTCTAATAACTTAGTTCACATTTATACAGGAGGCTCTTATTTTGAAAGTGTCAAAATACTGTCAACTTGGAGGACTTCTTACTGCACCTCCTGTAACCCTCATTGTACGAGGAGTAAGTGAAGCTGGAGGAAGAGTGTACTATTTCTAAATAAGTGCTGAATAGATGTTCCCTATTTTAAAAAAAACTATTTCGAAATAAGATACACAATTGACATAGCTCAATTTGCGTAGCTTATTTTGAGATAAGTCCTGCAGTGTAGATGCACCCTACCATGGCACCCTCCAAAACTAAACAGAAAAGGAGGTATGTGTATCTTAAGGATACACACTTTAGCAAAGCTTTTGATACGGTCTCCCACAATATTCTTGCTAGCAAGTTAAGGGAATATGGATTGGATAAATGGACTGTAAGATGGATACAAAGCTGGCTAGACTGTCAGTCCCAACAGGTAGTGATCAATGGCTCGATGTCAGGTTGGCGGTCAGTTTCTAGTGGAGTGCCCCAAGGATCTGTTCTGGGACCGGTTTTTTTCAACATCTTTATTAATGACCTGGATGAGGGGATGGATTGCACCCTCAGCAAGTTCGCAGCTGGGGGAGAGGTAGACACGCTGGAGGGCAGGGATAGGGTCCAGAGTGACCTGGACAGATTAGAGGATTGGACCAAAAGAAATCTGATGAGATTCAACAAGAACAAGTGCAGAGTCCTGCACTTGGGATGGAAGGATCCCAAGCATTGTTACATGCTGGGGACTGAATGACTAAGTAGCAGTTCTGCAGAAAAAGACTTGGGGATTACAGTGGATGAGAAGTTGGATATGAGTCAACAGTGTGCCCTTGTAGCCAAGAGGACTAATAGCATGATAGGGTGCATTAGGAGCATTGCCAGAAGATCCAGAAAAGAGATTACTCCTCTTTATTCAGCTCTGGTGAGGCCACATCAGGAGTATTGTGTCCAGTTCTGGGCCCCCCACTACAGAAAGGATGTGGACGCATTGGAGAGGGTCCAGTAGAGGGCAACCAAAATGATTAGGGGGCTGGAACACGTGACTTATGAGGAGAGGCTGAGGGATTTGGGTTTGTTTAGTCTGAAGAGAAGAGTAAAGAGGGGATTTGATAGCAGCCTTCAGCTTCCTGAAGGGAGGTTCCAAAGAGGATGGAGAAAGGATGTTCACAGTAGTGATGGATGGCAGAACAAGGAGCAGTGGTCTCAAGTTACAGTGGGAGAGGTCTAGATTGTATATTAGGAAAAGTTATTTCATTAGGAGAGTGATGAAGCACTGGGATGGGTTCCCTAGGGAGGTGGTGGAATCTCCATCCCTAGAGGTTTTTAAGTCTCGGCTTGACAAAGCCCTGGCTGTATTGATTTAGTTGAGATTGTCCTGCCTTGGGCAGGGGGCTGGACTTGATGACCTCTATGAGTTCTATGTGGTCTGCATTGTTTTATTGCAAAATGGTGTAGGGTATCATAGAACTGGAAGGGACCTCAAGAGGTCATCAAGTTCAGTCCTTTGCTTTCACAGCAGGACCAAGCACTGTCTAAATCATCTCTCACAGGTGTGTGTCTAACCTGCTCTTAAATATCTCCCATGACAGAGATTCTACAACCCCCCTAAGCAATTTATTCCAGTGTTTAATCACCCTGACAGGTAGGAAGTTTTTCCTAATGTCCAACCTAAACCTTCCTCGCTGCAGTTTAAGACAATTGCTTCTTGTTCTATCCTCAGAGGCCCAGGAGAACATTTTTTCTCCATTCTCCTTTTGATACACTTTTAGATACTTGAAGACTGCTATCATGTCCCAGCTCATTCTTCTCTTTTCTAAACTAAAAAAGCACAATTCTTTCAGTCTTCCCTCAAAGCTCTTGTTTTCTAGATCTTTAGTCATTTTTGTTGCTCTTCTCTGGACCTTCTCCAATTTCTCCACATCTTTCTTGAAATGTGGTGCCCAGAGCTGGACACAAGACTCCAGTTGAGGCCTAATCAGTGCAGAGTCGAGCAGAAGAATAACTTCTCGTGTCTTTCTCACAACACACCTGTTAATGCCTCCCAGAATCATGTTGGCTTTTTTTGCAAGTGTTACCTTGTTGACTCATATTTAGCTTGTGGTTCACTAAGACCCTTAGATCCCTCTCTGCAGTACTCCTTCCTAGACAGTCGCTTCCAATTCTCTATGTATTGCTTAATCAATGTTAAAATTTCTGTTACTAAATTTTATTAAAGCATACAAATGCCTCAGTCATAACAACAAAAAATAATTAAAAAACCCACCTAACTAAATGTCAGTCAGATGTTTTCCACACTTAAAACACACAAGATAGGAGGAAAATTTTGATTATTTTCACAAATCTTTTAATATTTAAGTAATATTTTCTATTTCTTTTACATACCTGCCTGTGCAAAAGCTGTTCCATGCCATGCTTTCTTTCTTTTTCAGAGTTGAAAAATGGTAATGACGTACGTATTGGGATCAACAATTGACATATTTTCTCATGAATGCTATCCCAGTCTGCTTTTTGATGATCTACATCGCTGGTTAAATAGGAAGAAATACTTTTTTAAAGTTGTGTTTATCTTTATTGCATAGTTGTATTTTCTGTCAATTCCCGCTGAAGTTGCTACTAGATTTTCACCAATAACGAATACCACTTAATAGCAGTTTCTAACAGTGGCTGGATCTTAGTTTCTCAACAATATTCCAAAATAGGAAGGCAGGGCTCTTCTGTTAAGTCAACTTAACATGTTAGAAACCTCCATAAAAATCACAACACTTTTGTTAAGGAGAAAGTAAAGCTGCTGTGATACAACAGGGCCTCATGATCTGTGTACACTTCTGTAACACAGAACTTCAAACCCACAATCTCAAAGTTTGGAAAACTGGGAATTACTAAGTTAAAGTCTCTTTGCATATCTCCAAAGAAAATATTAGTTTGAAGGAACCCCTCCCCTCACACGCTTAGTGATTCACAATGGAACATAGTTTCAACTTAGCTCTCCATATGAACACCTTGTAAAGTGAGTGGAAAATATTCACCAAACCTGCAAGTAATCTCCTCACTGCATCATTAGCATCCTTACTTGTGATCACGCAACTGTGAACATGAAAAACAGCTCAATTCATTCTAGTGTGATCTCCATCAATCAGCAGTGATCCCCCCGCTCCCGCTTTCCTTATTTATTCTTGGATCTGGACTTCTAATACTCCAGTCATCTGAAGAAGTGGGTTGTACCCACCATCTACATGTTTTGTTAGTCTTTAAGGCGCTGTTAGACTATTTGTGACCACGCTGATAGACTTGTTGCAACGCATATGAGTCCTGGAAGGAGTTCTCATGGATACAGAAAAAATGTCATTTCTCATTAGGAAAAGATAAGATATTGTGATATTCCCAACAGCAGAAGAAAAAATTGTATTATGTATGAAGAATCGCCTTGAGAAATGCAGGCTCAACAACTACCATTAAGTGGATACATAATTGCTTACACAAGTGCAAACAAAGAGTAACTACTAAGGGAATGATGTCAGATTGAAGAGTGGTCTCAAGTGGGTTTCATTAGGAATATTTTCTGGGTCCAGTGTTTAACATTTTTATTAATGACCTGGATATAGGTATAGAGAGCATACTGATCAAGTCTGCAGACAACACAAAGCTAGAGCACAGAGGTGAGTAGTCAGGACGGAAACCCAGGGGACCACCAGTCACATGAAACCCCTCCTCCCAGCTTGGGAAAGGGCCAGGACAACTACCCTCCACCCAAGCCCTGCCTCTCTCCACCCTTACTTCGTTCCTGTCCCACCCTCTCCCCTCCCCACCTCTTCTCTCACGCAAGGTGGCCCAGGGGAATAGCAGGGCTGGTGCTGGCAGCAGGTTTATGCTGCCCTCGCCCCTTGCACACACCAGTAGTGGATGCCAGATAGCCCCACTGCTGGTCTACCAACCGCCACACACTTTGCTCCTGCTGTATAATGCAGGGTGGTCCTACCCTCTACCGAAGAATGGTGTGGCCTGAAGAACTTGCTCCACTTCCCCTGCCAGCGAGTGTGTGTGTATGTGCGTGGGGAACTGGACCTTCCTGTAGGTGCCAGACTTCTCCCCCCACTAGTCCTCCGGTTGGCGGTCCTCTCCCACCCAAGGCATTTGGCGGGGGGTTGGGGGGTATGTGGCCTCTTGTCTCTCCACACACACGTATTTTCTTTGCTAGAGAGGTTCCCAATATTTTGGAGGACAGAGCTAAAATTCAGGACCTTGATAAATTGGAGAACTGAGCAACAAAGCATAAAATGAATCAAAGACACATGTAAGGTCCAACACTTAGGGAAGAAAAACAAACACATACATCCTGTGAGGGATGGGGCCTCAGCAGAAGGAGCAGGACTGAGGTTGGGGGTAGCAACCTGAAATCCACTTTAGACAAGAAATGAATTAAGTGTATTCTAGAGCTATTCTTTGGGATGGAATTAGAAATACAGAGTCTTTTCACAGACTGCCCATAACCTTCTTTGATGTATTGTTAGGAAACACTTCTCTCATTAGGGAAAAAGACATGTTATTGGAGAACCTGTGGAAGAATAGACAGAGAATACTGTACAGTAGACTAACCATGCTATAAGTGGCCTGGTGAGATATTAGCATTCCTTGTTCATAACTAAGATTTATTTGTCCATTTGTGCCTTCTTCCTCACTTTCATACCCACACTTCACCATGACATATTGATAACATGTGCCAGAAGGAAACTATTAGAATTAGTGAGAAAATAGGGGCTCTGATGTTTAGAATATGTAATGATACCCACCCGCCGGCTTCCATCTCATCCTAGTTGGTGAATTGGAATGACCTATTCAGTATTTAAGGAAAGGACTGGACTAAACCTTGCCCAACCCAAGATAAGACTGAGATGATGTTTATTGGTTGGAAGAAGCAATAAGAATTGGCAGCAGTTACTTCAGATTCTATCTCATTTGTAATGTAACATCACAGACTATGAATTCTGTTCAAATCCCAGCTATTTCTGGACACCCAATTAACCTCATTGATCAAGAGCATTGCTTGGTATCTGCACTTAGCTATAAGCTTCTAGCCTTGTCTTTTAATATATACACCATACCACTGGACTGGAGATCACTGGGCCTAGTGATCCATGCCTTTGACATCTTGAGTTTGTATCATTATGATGCACTTGAGAACTGCCTCCCCTCCACCCCCCTCAAAAAAAGTCTTTTCGGAAACTTCACCTAGTACAGAACATGGGATCCCAATCGCTTAGACATTCCTTGCCAAAACACTCAGGGCTACGTCTACACTGGCATGATTTTCCGCAAATGCTTTTAACGGAAAAGTTTTCTGTTAAAAGCATTTTCGGAAAAGCGCATCTAGATTGGCAGGACGCTTTTCCGCAAAAGCACTTTTTGCGGAAAAGCGTCTGTGGCCAATCTAGACGCGCTTTTCCGCAAAAAAGCCCCGATCGCCATTTTCGCAATCGGGGCTTTTTTGCGGAAAATAAATCTCTGCTGTCTACACTGGCACTTTTGCGCAAAAGTTTTTCAGAAAAAGACTTTTGCCCGAACGGGAGCAGCATAGTATTTCCGCAAAAACACTGACAATCTTATATGAGATCGTCAGTGCTTTTGCGGAAATTCAAGCGGCCAGTGTAGACAGCTGGCAAGTTTTTCTGGAAAAGCGGCTGCTTTTCTGGAAAAAGTGGCCAGTCTAGACACAGCCTCAGTAGTATAAATTAGATTACAATTCATTTTCAGTTGTTGGCTACAGTAGTGGTTTGAACTCAAAAAAGTCTAGGTAGTTAGAAGAATTGCTACCTGAGAAATTCCATCTGTCTTTTCAAGCAAAACCACATTATAATCCAAAGCACATGAACACTGAGGTGAGAGAGCCTGTGGAATTCGCTTCCCTTCTTGGTTTGATATAACATCTACCTGTTGAGGGCACACTGTTAAGACTGGGCTGGTGGACAGGGATTTGAGGAAGGATGAAGAAGGATATGAATCTGAAGGATCAATATTTAGTTGTTGTGGATAGAAAGGGAGAGATTTCATATTATGTTGTATAATGTTTTACAAACTCATGGCTTATCCATTTGGTTGCACTGCCCTGAGGCAAATCGCTTCAACTTTCTGTGATAATAAATGGCCATAATAGTCACTCTTCTTTTATATATTTCTGTTCTATTAAGACACCAAGCCTGCAAATACTTATTCATATGACTACCTTTAACCTGTGTTTTACTGAAGTCAATGTAACTTCAGATGCTTGAAGCCAAGCGTGCACTTAAGTAGCTATAGAATCAGAATGAGGTTGAAAATTTTTCTGAAGTGTCAGAGCTCAACAAAAATGGTATTTTCTCACCATAACAGTGTGAATTAGGGATGTTAAATATCAGTTAATTGAACAGTAGAGTAACCCCATGAATTCTTATCAGTTAGTCAACTATTCAATAGTTCTTGTGGGTGGGGCTAGCAGCCAATGCTCTCCTGCCTCACTCCTGAGAAGACCCCTGCCACTCCACGCTGCTGCCACGGTATCAGAGACAGCAACATGGGGTGCCAGATGGGAGCAGGTCCACAAGGGGAGCCAGTTTAAAAAACAGCTCCCCTTGCGGATGGCTGTCTGTTGCCCACACTGCTGCCTCTGATCAAGAGGTCCTGCTCCTTCCTAGGGATGTCCCTCCCCTAGGCTAGGGGTGGTGAGGGAGGAGTCACGTAAGGGGGTGGAAACATGGCCAAGGGGCCCCCCTTGTGTCCCTACCCAGCAGCCCCAGATAATTCTATCCCCTGCAGCTCCTCCCTCCCCCCCAATTGTTAGTCAATCCTCTCCACCTCCAAGCTGGGTGCTTTTGGCGCGAGGGCAGGGCACAGCTGCAGGCGGAAGTGGGCAGAGCTGAGCAGGAGCTAGGCTGGCTGGTGCCCAAGAGAACAGAGGCAGCCTGGGGGCAGGGCGCTAGGGGGCGGGGGCCTACAACTCAGGGCTGCCCCACATCGGGGAACCCGCACGGCAGCCCCT